GGGCGCAGGCGGGCGGCATGGCCCAGCCCATGCAGCCAGCGGGGCGCTGGAGGTACGGCTCCTTGCAGCAGTGGAGGGGTGCCCGTCTAATCCCCTGCATATTTCAACATATTTCACCTTTATGACGGCTGCCCATTAGCAAACAGTGGAAGCTGTCGCTTTCGTCTGTGCAAATGGGTACTGAACAGGCTGTTTCGTCTCCAGCAGCAGCCGGCCCCTGTGGCACTGGGGCGGGCAGGCCCTGGGCTGTGGTGAACCCTCAGCCAGGCAGGGGGGTCAGGTTGTCCTCTGCTGCCAGGCTGGCTGTCGGGCAGACGTGCCCCGGGAAGGCAGCAGCCTGGAAAGTGCTGGGAGCAAAGAGGTGACCAGTCAGGCTGTGCGCGCACAGCGATCTCTCATCTCTCCTGCATTTAAGTCTATGGGTCCTGTTTTTTCAGTGTATGTGATGAAAGAGGAGAAAATCTTCTCAGCCTTGCTGTTATTAACTTAATTCATCTCTGTGGGCTGGAACGTCAGATGTGATGAACAAGCTGGATCAGGGCTCGTTAGTTTTCTTCAGAGGGGCTCAAAGAGGCGCAGAAAGGTTATCTGTAGACAAGCTTTAGTACTATGGGACATAATAAAAAATTACCAGGATGGCAAAGCAATTGTTGTGCCTGATCTAGCTGTCAGCAGCCACAGAGAGTTCAGAAGCGCAGTCGGAGCGCGGCGCAGCGCTGCTGGCAGCACCCTGCACAGCCTTGGTCAAGTCACTTACCAGCAGCTCCTGGCGTGCTGCCTGCTTCCCAGGGCTGGGGAGATTTATTATTTCCTGCTTGTGCGCCATGCTAGAAGTACGAAGTGCTAAACGTTGCTAAAAGCTGCTATGAAAAAAAGTGTTATGGACAACAACAATATTTTATAGTCTGATTTTTTTTTTCCTCTGCTAAAGTTTCCATGCTGAAATAGAGTACAAACACACAATGCATGCACGCGCGTGCATGCACGCACACATACACGCAGAGCAAGAAGGGAGAAAGGATGGGAAACTGAAACATGTGAAACAATGCCAAGATGGACTTAAATGGCTTGCTACGTCATTATAGAGCAGTAATTAACTGACCTGACCAGTGGAATATTTATTTTTGTTTTTAAAAAGCCCAGGGTAGGAATATTGGCTGATCGTTCTTGCACTTTTTCCAAATCTAAGAAAAGCTGGTTTCCACGGAAGCCTAGTGTGTTGCTTCTGGGAGGCTAAACTGCAGCCACACAGGAGTACTGCACAGAGCCCAGGAAGGCGAGCAGACTAACATGCAAAGTGAGATTGATTGTTTCATTTTCTTTGTCTAGCTTGAGAGAGGCAATGAAGAGCGCAAGAGAAACAAATGTCAGAAAAACTGTGTATTATGAATCGCTTTTTTAAAACCATATAAGGGTGTATTTATAACACAGTAACTGCTTTTTAATTGAATTTTATATGCAGTTGAAATTCTATACTTAAAGGAAAATTCAGTGTGACACTTCCAGAGAGGAGTGCTCTGAACATGTGTTTTATATCGGACCAGGTTCTCCCAACTGATGAATCAGTTGAACATAAGAAGTCCCACAGACAGAGCCATAGGAAGAAAGTCCTACCGGAGATCTACCTGACCAGGCTGCTCTCCACAAAGGTAGGAGACGGGACACCCTCATTCATGGCAGGTGGGATTATTGTTTGTGGTCTGTAGCAAGAAGCCTACTCTAGCAAAGGAGCACTGCAGGGCCGGTCGCTCTCGAGAGGCAGTGGGACTCTTCTGTCCTGGACAGCTGGAACGTGTTTAGCAAGGCTGCCAGGCACCACTAGCTCCTTGGGTTCCCTCCAGCTTTCCAGCTCGCCCTCTGAGCAGCAGTGCTGCTGCGTGAAGCCCCACACGATCTCCCTGGGCTGGTCTGGGGTCTGTGCACATGAAAGGGATGTTGACCACCTCAGGGCTCATGATGCACATTTTAGAGCTGAACCCATCTCCCCAGCGAGAGATCCTGCTGGGAAAGGAAATGAAGATGCTCAGCTCTGGGAGCAGGGGGAATGTCTGTGCAATCTTAATTCAGATTTGAACTTCCCCACTCCGCGAGTGCTCAGCTCCAGCAGTTGGGCTCCCAGCCCATCTTTAATCCCAGCATGATGCTTCACTGGAGCAGAGATCACAAGAATGGCCAGCAGTCTACAGTCTTCTTTGTATTTACTGTGCAGAACAATCACAGATGTGATATCCTAGCAGTAAGTAAGAAAATCTCGATGCCAAAAGAAATTAAACCCAAATGCAAGCTAATTATATCACTATGCACAAACAAACTTTTCCCTCCCTGCTTCGGCATCCCCTTTCTCTTCTGATTTATCCAACTGGCAGCAAAGGATTTCCCCTTGTGCACAGCAGTCGCAGCCCCTGACACTGTTTCCCTGGGCTCAGGTGCTGCTGCTTTCCCCAGTCTCCATCATGTGTGCTTGTCCCACAGGGCACGCTGCAGAAGTTCCTGGACGACTTGTTCAAAGCCATTCTCAGTATCCGAGATGATAAACCACCTGTGGCCGTGAAGTATTTCTTTGACTTCCTAGAGGAGCAAGCAGAGAAAAGAGGGATCACAGACCCTGACACTATGCACATCTGGAAGACCAACAGGTTTGGAAGAGGAAATTTCTTCTTTCTTTCCTTCCTTCCATCTCTCAGGAGCAGCAGCTGCAAAGCCTTGGTGTCCTGGACTAATCATTAGGTTGCTAAAAGCAGAAGAGGGACTTGGAAAATAGGAAGGGTGGTGGAGGGGGCAGCGAAAGATGAGGCCAAACACAGGCTTGGAGAGCTTTGAACAAACACAGAGCTCAGGGGAACGGCGAGCTGGAAGAGGAGGCATAGGCAGATAAAGGGCAGAACAAACTGGCACACTAATACAAATAATTAAAGGAGAAACAGAAGGGCGACAGGATGACGGAATGGCATTAGCTCCAAGCACCGGAGAACTGAGACAGAACCCAGAATCATGTCAGATCTTAAAACATCATGGAGATTTTAAAAACAACATATTTGGCTCCTTGTCATTTGCTTTCTGGCTTTTCAGCCCTTGGGGGCACTTTTCCCAACTTACCTCTGCAACCAAGCTGAGACTCCAGGTATTCACAGGACTCCAGGAGCTGGTGCTGTGACAGCAGCGGGCTGGCAGGCACCGCAGCACTGGCGACCAGCCAGGAGCGGTGCTGAGGGACGTGATGAGCA